TTTTACTGAATTCATTTATAGTATTTTCTAGGTGGAATCTTTAGGGTTCTCTATGTGCTGTATCATGTCATCTGTAAATGATGACAGTTTTACCTGTTCCCTTCCAATTTGGATGCCTTTTATTTTTTACTTCTTGTCTGATTGCTATGGCTAGGATTTCCCATACTGTGTTCAGTAGGAGAGGTCAAAGTGGACATCCCTCTCTTTTTCCTGATCTTAAGGGGAGCACTTGAAGTTTTTGCCCTTTCAGTACGATGTTACTAGTGGTTTTGTCATACATGGCCTTTATTATATGTAGGTATGTTCTCTCTATTCCCATATTGCTGAGAGTTATCATAAATGGGCACTGGATTTTATCAATTTTGTTGAGGATTTTAACATTTATGTTTATCAGGGATTATGGCCTATAATTTTTTTTAGTGTTTTTAGTTTTTTTGTAATTAGGATAATTCTGGCTTTATAAAGTGAGCTTGGGAGTCTTCACACCTCTTGAGTTTTTTGAAGTAGTTTGAGAAGAATGGGTGTTAGTTCATCTCAGAATGTTTTATAAAATTCACCTGTGAAACCATGTGGTCCAGGGCTTTTTTTGTTGGGAGTTTTTTGAATACTGCTTCATTTCATTAGTTGCAATCTGTCTATTCAGATTCTCTGATTCTTCCTGACTTACTTTTGGAAGATTGGATGTTTCTAGGAATTTATCCATTTTTGTTCGGGTGGTCCAATTTGTTGGCATATAGTTGTTCAGAATATTTTCTCATAGTCCTTTGTATGTCTTTGTCATCAGTTGTTATTTCTCCTCTTTCATTTCTGATTTTATCTGGGTCCTCTCTCTCTCTCTTTCTTGATGAGTTTGGTTAAAGGTTTGCCAGTTGTGTTTATCTTTAGCTCTTGTATTCATTGAGGTTTTTTAGACTCCATTTCATTTTTTCCTGTTGTCATTTTTATTGTCATTCCCTTCCTTCTACTCACTCTGGGCTTTGTTTGTTCTTTATCAAGTTCCTTTAAGTATAAAGTTTGTTTATTTGAGCTTTTTCTTATTTATTGAGATGGGCCTATAATGCTATATAATTTCTGTCTAAGATTGGTTTCCATGTACAACAGATTTTGGTTTGTTGTGTTCTAATTTTCATTTGATTTCTTCCTTGATGTCATTGTTGACCCATTAATTCAGAGGTGTCAGGCTCCTTTTCACTGGGGGCTGCTTCAGCCACGAGGCTGCCTTCAAAGGGCTAAATGTAATTATAGGACCATATAAATGTAACTATTCCTTCCCAGTTAAGCAAGAGCTCAGCGCTGCTGCCAGGTAGAAACAAGGTGGAGGGCCGGATTCAGCCCATAGGCCTTGTGTTTACCACCTGCGCATTAATTGTTTAATAACATGTTACTTAGCTTCCATATCTTCATGTATTTTTTAGTTTTCTTCTGATTGATTTCTAGTTTCATAGCATTGTGGTTAGAGAACATGCTTGATAAGATTTCAGTCTTCTTAAATTTGTTGAGATTGTTTTATGTTCTAATGTGTTGTACACTAGAAAACGTTCCATGATGTGCACTTGAAAGGAATGTATTTCTGCTGCTTTGGGGTGAAAGGCTCTGAAGATACCAAATTTACCTTGGCGGAGATCACGGCTGATCTGAGAGATACAAGCAAACTCTTTAAAATATTGTTACATATATTGGGTACATATATTCAAGGTCATCAGTAGCTGTGTGTTTGTATGTGATTAATGTTGAAGCCATCAGTTTGATTATAACACATGTTTCATAAAGGTGTGTGATATTCAATAGTAAATTTTATCTGAGATATACTGTGTACTAATAAGTAAGTATTGGTGTAGTTTTTTTGTTTTTGAATTTCTAAGTCTGTTATTGTGTTTTTTTATTTTCCATTGAAAATGGCTTGAAAAATATATCAATTTAATAATCTATGAAATGTTGAATAACTTCAGCGAATACTACTCAGGTCTTATGGTGAGAATGATAGAGTCAAATGTGAGAATGAAAGGGATATAAAATATGAGGATTATGTGGAATTTCATTCAGAAGATTCATATACCGAGCAAGTTATTTCCAGTGAAGATGAATTAGACATTAATGAAGAGTAGTTTTTGGGGGGGAAGGACAAAGAATCAAAATGGAGGAAATGTCCAATAAGAAGACAAACTAGAAAAAAGCCACAGAATGTTTTGTGTCAATTTTTGTTAGTTCAGCCAAACACAAAAAAATGCCAAGATAGAACTTGAAACTTTGAACTGCTTTATTGCAAATAATACTTTAGACCTAATCATATGATATACAAATAAATACATCAGTTATATCTTGAACCAGTTTTCCTGAGAAATGGATGCTAACTTAATAGACAAAACCAAATAGAAAGCATTTTTAGGCCTCATGTATAGCAGGTTACATCTCAGAAATTGGCTAAATTTGCAGGATTTATGGGCTACAGATGTTACTTTTTCCCCCCCACATTTGAGCACATACTGTAAATGAATATATCTCTCAGATACACATGACCTGTGCTGTAATTTCTTTGACCACAATCTCTGCAGTGCTAAATCTGTTTGATCTAGTTTGTCATTTAAAGCTGTTATTTCCTTGTTGATTTTCTGTCTGAAAATCTATCCATTGAAGTCAGTGGGGTGTTAAAATCCCCCACAATGACTATATTTCTATTGATCTTTCACTTTATGTCCATCAACATTTGCTTTACATATTTTGGTGCTCCTATGTTAGGTGCATAAATGTATACTAGGATTATATCCTCTTTTCCCCTTTATCTTTATGTAGTGTCCTTTTTTGTCTCTTACTGTAGCTTTGGTTTTAAAGTACATTTTGTCAGATACAAGTATTGCTACCCCAGCTTTTTTTTTTCTTTTCCATTTACATGAAATATCTTTTTCCATCTCTTTACTTTTAGTTTCTGTGTATATCTTTTGTTCTGACATGGATCTCTTGAAACAGCACATATATGGTTCTCGTTACCTTACCATTCAGCTACCCTGTGCCTTTAGATTGGAGCATTTTAGTCATTTACATTATTGCCATTTGTTTTCTTAACTATTTTTCTTGAGGTTTTTTTCTCCTCCTCCTCCTCCCCTGCCTAGCAACCCCTTTAACTTTTGTTGCAGTACTATCCCCATGATGTGGGGATGTTATGCTTCATGTTGTTCCAGAGCTCCCTAACGCTCCTGATTTTTTAATTCTTTCTTCTTTTTGATGTTTTACTTGGGTGTTTTTTCTACCTTGTCTTCCAAATTGCTGATTCCATCCTCTGCTTCATATAACCTACTGTTTATTCCTTCTAGTCTATTACTTATTTCAATATTACATCCTTTGTTACTGATTGGTCATTTTTATGGTTTCTCTTTTTTCATGCTGTTAAGCATCCTTATAATTATTCTAAATTCTATCTGATAAATTGCTTGCCTCCATTTCATTTAGCTCTTCTGGAGAATTCTCTTGTTCTTTCATTTGGGGTCAGTATCTTCATTTTCCTATTTTGGCTGCCTCTTTGTGTTCACTTCTGTGTATTAGGTAGATCTGCAAAGACTCAGGTACTGACCTATGTCAGACGCTGTCTGTAATTGTCCCTGTGCAACCTGTTTGGAGCGACCAGCAATCCTCATCTTCTGGCTCCCTCTGCTGGTCCTGGGTATGTGCAGAGAGAACCAGTATGTTCCTCAAGGCCCTCTTTTACAGCAGTGGGCCTGGGGAAGGGTCATATAAATTTCAAAACTCCCAGAGATCTGCCTCCTCCTGCAGGCTTTCTGTTAGGCTTAACCAGGGAAATTGCCTCCAGCTTTACTCCTCAGCAACAGGGCTTAAGCTTCACAGGGTGGGGCAGAGTAACTGCTGTGGACGGGGCCAATGCTTCTCCACAGACTGATGCCACTTGGAGGGGAGTGTTCTGCCCAAGAAAGATGGTTTCTGTAGTATATGGAGTGACTAAACACGGGATCCTGACAGCTGATCCTTCAACTCTCACCAGCCACCAACCCCAGACTCTCTTTAATGTATCTCTGTCCTCCCTCAGCTGGAGCCCAGGGTAAGTGGCTGCAAATGAAATTGTGTGTGTTGGCACTCTAAGAGGATGGCTGCATCTCTAGCTGTCTCCTGCTGGCAGACAGAAACCCCACTGCTTTTCATAGCCAATGTTATTTAGGTTACTTTCCCACTTCTGGTGTTACAGGCTGGAGAGCACAGCTTGGGGTTTGGACCCCACACTTCTCAGGGTGAACCCCCTCGGCTGCTGAAATATCCCTCCAGGACTTCCGCTACTGCCCCTGGGACCCCAGCCAGCCCGCTTGCTGGTTCCTCTATGCTCCTTAACAGTCTCGTTTTGGTGAAATGGTTTATTCCATAATAAGCCCTTGGTTATAAGGCTTCTCTGCAGCTAGTGTTTGGTGTGTTAGTCAGGATGATTTTTTAATAATTTACTTGTAATTCCAGTTTGGTCCTGGGAGGACTTAATTTCCACCTACTCTGCCGCCATCTTGGATCAAGTACTTTGTTTTCTCAAAAAGATTAAATTAATTAATTTAGTTTCTCACTAAGAGTAGTTTAATTTAGTTTAGGTCACATCCTGTGACTTTGTTACAGTTACCTGGGCTGTGTCCATGTGAGTGTGTGCATCTCCATTTCCCAGTTGACCTGTTCTGCGATGAAATACTAGTTCTAAGTTCACTAGTAGTTAGTTGGAAAGATAGGTCTAAAGATTAAATGGTGAAATAAAAGACTGTAATAGAGGTTTGAAAACACATGTGAAGGAGCAATCAGTTCTGCATTATGTTAGGAATATGGAGAGGTGATCACCTGATGATTTTTAAGATGGATGACATTTGAGCTAAGCTTTGAAAAATTAGTTCTCTGGGATAATTAGCATTCAGTCTTTGTTTTACATAGTTACCCTTCTATTAAAACTGTACTTATTTTGAAAAGAAAAAGAAACATCTTCCTTATTTCATTTTATCTCTGTGATTCCTGTCTCCTCCCCATAGATTTTGTGTACAAGTGCTTTGGAAAAGATGGCTGATATTAGCCTCAAGGAAATAACCTTAATAGTAGGTGTGGTCACTGCCTGCTATTGGAACAGCCTCTTCTGCGGTTTTGTTTTTGATGATGTTTCAGCAATACTGGATAATAAAGACCTACATCCGTCTACACCTTTAAAAACTTTATTTCAGAATGACTTCTGGGGAACCCCTATGTCTGAGGTAAGTAATTACCTTCATAATTACTTTTGTATTACTTATAGGAATCTCAGATTTTAAAATATTCTGTTAGTTTATTACTCCTAATTTTTTATCACCATTTTCATCATACCAATTAATGAATTAATGGATTTTTCCTCCTAAATTTTATGAGACATAACATGTTTTTTTAAAAATTGGTAGGAAGTTGAAGATATTATCTTTTTTAAAAGCAGTACTTTTTTATTTTCTTCGTTTTGTACCTTGGCTTAATCATATATATATGAAAAGCAAATGTGTTAGGAGAACAATATGTGTAATACAAGTCTGCTTCTGACTCACTGATTTTTTCCTTTCTTGTGAGGCAAAAGAGATGACTACTTGTGATATATTTAACCATTTAAAAATACATATAACTTTAAAATAAATTGGACCTTTGTAAACATAGTAAGTACACATGCTGCCAATTTTTCTGTAGAAAAAAATGTGATATATTAAAATGTTTAAATGTAACATATCTCTTACCTAATAATTAACTTGATATTATATTAAGAACTGAAAAGTTTATTTCATTTTTATGAGGGTAATTTTACTTTGCCAAATTGAATCCTTGCCAGTTTGGGACCATCTGGATTGGATTCTAATTTTAGTCCTATTATATAATAGCTGTGTGCAGTAGGCAGTAATACAGATTTTTAGATGCCAGGTCACTTTCCTAATCTATAAAACAATAATACCTTGAGGATAAGTATATGAATTAATATGTTTATAGTACCTACACATAGTTGCTAAGACATAATATATAACATTCTTTTATAGTTATAGTTCATCAATCATCATTGGTGGCTTATTTCTGCATTTTTTAAATTTGGAAGCTTCACAAGCATGGGGATGGGATCTTTATTTCCCTATTCATGAACACATAATAATTATTACATATTGATAAATAATCAGACTATTTTTCTTGCAACCCTCCTGTTATCACCCAACTCTAGCCTTTAGAAGAATAAATCTTTTGATAACAAGGGAAGATTTGTTTTATTTACAGTCTTTTCTAGACAGTTGATTTCCCCTTGTCCCTCCCTTACTGTTTAACCCCACAGACCCTTAGAAGTGTGTCCATTTCCCTCTCTTAATGGCAGTGCCTCTTGTGATTTAATCATGACATTGAGATTTTCACCTGAGAGTTTAGCTGGTCAGATTAAAGGGCTCAGGAAAATTATCGTACCATGGTATTTGTGATTCTTCTCAGCTTCACAGGTGAAAATATGTGAACATTTTGTTCAGAGCACCTATGAGAACACACGAAGAAGAAGTAAACTCAGGTGGAATGTATGAACAAATTAGACTAATAATTTATAGTGAGGAGTGTCGTTCCTCCTTTTTTTTTTTTTTTTTTTGGTTTTAATACTCACCCAAGGACATGCTTATTGGTTTTTAGAGAGAGGGGGAAAGAAATTTCGATTGGCTGTCTCCTGTACAAACCTCTACAGGGGACCGAACCTGCAACCTAGGTATGTGCCCTGACTGGGTATTGAACCTAAGACTTTTGGGCCTGCAGGATGATGTTCCAAGTAATTGAGCTACACTGACCAGGACGACTGCCTTGTATTTTCTGATAGGCATGTTCTCTCTCAGTAGGGAAGTGTGCCACTAGGGAAAAATTATTCTTGGTATATAGGTGTCATAAGGTTTCTTGACAAGCCTGGAATTAGCACTTTCATAGGACCTAATGGTTGATTTTATCAAGTAGTGATAGCCTAGAAGCTTGCAAAGACACAGACCTTTGTGATGATATTTGTGCAAATGTAGATCTTAAAGACACATTTTGGACTTAGGACATTCTCCTTGATCTATATGAATACTAACTACCACATTAGGGAATCTTTAGACTCCTCTGGTCTTCTCATTGTTTAGAATAATTCCTTTAGTAAGCCCATTCTTTAGATGTATAATATTCTGTTTATTGATGTTTTCCTATATTGCAACTCTGGCTGCACATGGAATCTGCCTGGGGCACTTTAAAAAATATATTACCAAGGCTCTACCCAAACCTATTAATTACATTTATTTCATATTGGGATGCAGAAATCAGTATTTTTATTCTGTTTTGTCTGTGTGTTCTCTTTCTTGTTACTGTGGGGTTTGGCCGGGGGTGGGGTACGGGGCGGGGGGGCGGGAAGGACGCATGTAAGCTGCCCTGGTGATTGGTACAGCCCTGGTGGAGAACCACTGACCTGTAACAAGCTGCACCCTTCTGGCATTTGGCCTGTGAAATACTGTGTTAAGGTAACTTCTGCAGATAACCTGTCACTATGTTTTGCCATCTATATATGGAGATTCACATTAACAGGGAACTGTGAGCTTATTTTTTCATTATATTTGTCCTTACGTTTCTATTGCCAACCAATTATGTTTAATATACCTGAATGTAATAGTGATCTGAATTGTCTTGTTTTAATGGAACTTGCTGTTTTACTCTATTTTCACAGAGTAAATTTGATATCTAGACTGATGATTATCAACAAGAGTGGAATCTTACTTAAATGGATTATTGATAATTTATATAAATAGTTATATTAATAATTAATCTATATTTTAATGGTGTCATGGCTTATATTTAAGTCTTTTACCCACCTGGAATTTATTTTGCTGTATGGTGTAAGTCGGTGCTCAAGTTTTATTTTTTTGCACGTAGCTGTCCAGTTCTCCCAACACCATTTGTTGAAGAGGCTATCTTTACTCCATTTGATGTTACTGCCCCCTTTGTCAAATATTAATTGACTGTAGAGAGTTGGGTTTATTTCCGGGCTCTCTGTTCTGTTCCATTGATCTATGTGCCTGTTTTTATGCCAGTACCAGGCTGTTTTGATTACAGTGGCCTTGTAATACAGTTTGGTATCAGGTATTGTGATCCCTCCTACTTTGTTCTTCTTTTTCAAAATTGCAGCTGCTATTCGGGGTCATTTATGGTTCCATATAAATTTTTGAAGTGTTTGTTCTATGTCTGTGAAATATGCCATTGGTACTTTAATAGGTATTGCATTGAATCTATAAATTGCTTTGGGTAGTATGGACATTTTGATGATGTTAATTCTTCCAATCCATGAATAAGGTATATGTTTCCATTTGTTTGTGTTTTCCTTGATGTCTTTCTTCAGTGTTGTGTAGTTTTCTGCCTACAGATCTTTTACCTCATTGGTTAGGTTTATTCCCATATAACAATAGAATTCTATGCAGCAGAAAGAAAGAAAGAAGGAGCTCCTACACTTTGCAACAGCATGGATGGAACTGGAAAGCATTATGCTGAGTGAAATAAGCCAGGTGTTGAAAGACAACTACCATATGATCTTACCTTTAACAGAAAGCTAAACAACAAAACAAACAAGCAAAATAAAAATAAAGATACTGAAATAGAGAACAGGGGGACACTGACCAGAGGGGAGAGAGGAGGGAATTTCAGGGGGAAAAAGGGGGGAGATTTAGAAGAACTAGTATAAAGGACACATGGGCAACAACTAATGGGGGTGGAAATGGGAGGGAGGTGGGGAGCATGGGGGGGTAGGCTGGGATGGGAGTAAAAGATAGAAAACTGTACTTGAAAAATAATTAAATAAAAAATAATAAAAATAAAAACTTAATCTATATTTTAGTTTTTATTACCTATGGCATATACACATCTAATAGACCTAGCAAAACAATTGTTTATTCTGCAATTAAAAATACCTATACCCTATCACTTTCTTACTTCATCCTTTCAACTTGCAAATATGTTGTAACAGAACCACAATAATATTTTAGGCACTCACAGTGTTTCTAGAGCCTTTTTTGCTTTCTGGTACAAATGTCAATTTGATATGGTTTGTGCTTTAAAAACAATGTTGTATGCCTAAGCTGAAACAAAAAGGATGTAGAGGAATAGCCAAACAGGAAAGAACATTCTAGGTAGACCTCACTCTTGCTGTGTATGTTCTTAATACAGACATATTAAAATGTTCCTGATTTCAAGGTGTTTGTTGCTTGTGCTTCCCTGTGTTCTGTAGTAAGGATGAGCAGGCTATGGTAAGAGGTAGGAGCGCACAGAAGCTGATTGTGCATTCCTTACATAAAATTTATAAGAAATTGCTTTGGCTAGGTGACTCATTTGGTTGGAGCATCATCCTATACACCAAAAGGTTGCAGGTTCAATTCCCAGTCAGGGCACATACCTAGGTTGTGGGTTCAACCCCTGGTCAGGGTATGTACAGGGGCAGTTGGTCACTGTCTCTCTCCTCCCTCCCCCAAATCAATAAACATTTTAAAAAATGTTCTAAAATTATAAGAAATAACTAAGATTGTATTTTTTTTATTTGTGTGTTTTATTCTTAAACCTGATTTGATTTTTGTCTTAGAGTAAAACTATTTCTGGTTAAATGTAACTTCTAGTTTATTTAAAAAATTAGTACTTTGTATAAAATTTGATTTATTATTAATGGAGACTGTCATAGCAAAGGTGTCTATTCTCTTATTTTAAGAAAGTTTTTGCTCTTGTATTATTCTGTGTAGTATTTGGGGATTTTCGGTTTAATGTATTCAGGTTTATACCTCATGGACATGTTTTTCATAAAACAACTAGACAGTACTTTTTGAGCTGTTATTCTTTAAACTGCAGTGCTAAGCATTCCATTCTTATATTTTCTTCTAAAAATCTAGCCAGCAGTTACATGAATGCTTGTGTTGATAATAGATTGGGGAGCAGTTTTGAACATAATCCTGTGCTCAAACTTGATTAGTACCACTATTTTTCTACGTTTTGAAAGCTCTTTGTATTGAAGAGGATTTTATATGTGTTTCCTCTACTGTTACTTCTGTGACTACTATATATCAGAGAGAAAACTGCCTTGTTTGGGGATTAAGGAAATAGGAATCACAGATTATCATTTATCTTTGTGTTATTTGAGGGGCATTTCATTATTTTATTGTTATTTCTCAGCCAGATGTGATACTTTCATTAATAAATGCAATGATTAGTTTATATACCTCCCCCCCAAAACCAAAGTACTGTAGTAATCAATGATTGTTTTTTTCCTTTTAGGAGAGAAGCCATAAGTCTTACCGCCCCTTAACAGTATTGACATTTCGCTTAAATTATCTGTTTAGTGAACTGAAACCAATGTCATATCATCTCCTAAATATGATTTTTCATGCTGTGGTCAGTGTGCTATTTCTTAAAGTCTGCAAACTTTTTCTCGACAACAGAAGCAGTGTGATTGCTTCTTTACTCTTCGCAGTACACCCAATACATACTGAAGCAGTAAGTGAAACTGGAAATTAAAGTTTGTTTTATTATTTTTTTACAAAACCTACACAGTGACTATAATGGTATATATATTTAAGAATAATATTTAACCATGACTTTATTATAGACTCTTAAATCACTATAATAAGTCCAAACATCCTGGTGCACAGATCTAACTTTCTATTATGTAAAATTTTAAAATTTAAAATATCTTTTGAAACATAAACACTTATTATCAAGAACATGAGATAAAATCACTCAAATTTAGTAATGTAACATATAAATGAATACAATTTTATTGTTTGCTTATGTTTAAATTTGTGTGTGTGTGTGTGTGTGTGTGTGTGTGTGTGTGTGTTAGAGGAGAGTTGAATTGTGTCTCCCACTGTCTTGAACCTTTTGGTATCTAGCATTTTTCCATACATATACCAAAGTGATGGGTTGTTTTAAATTTTACAGTGAGTTCAGAATACTTTAAAGGGAGAGGTTTGGTGTTTTATATTTATTTTTTTAGAATTTAAAGGGACTGAAGTTTATTATTTAAACTCTAATTTGCAGGTTTATTGTAAGATAAAACTTAATGAATTTCTGGTACTTTTGGGTTTTAAGAATACTAGTATTTTAAGAAAATATTTAAGGAGTTCTTAGCTTTTTTCTTTTCTTTTTTAGATTAGGAACTGCACTATATATTGTACTATAATTATGTAAGATGTTACCATTGGGGGAAGCTGGGTAAGGGATATAGGGGACCTCTCAACTATTTTTGTAACTTCCTGTCCATAATTATTTCATAATAGTATTAATTAATAAAAGAACTTTAACGAGTCACTAATAAATTTATTTTTGTGGGAGATACACAAATTCACCACATGAGGGCACTCAAAGAATATCTAAGAAAGAAATGTGCACTTGAAAAGTTATGGCAGTTTAGTTTCTCATTAAAGTGCTATTGCTGTTCTGTACAGTTAAAAATTTCAGGATGCTCCTTATTAATATGATGCCCCCACCTGTCTATTTCCAGGTAACGGGTGTGGTAGGAAGAGCAGAACTTTTGTCATCTATCTTTTTTCTAGCTGCATTTTTGTCATATACCAAATCAAAAGGACGGAATAATTCTATAGGTAAATGTCTTAACATTTCTTTTTTTTTCTATAGCTGTAAAACTTGATCAGGCAATTTTTATCTACTTTAGTGCTGCTTATCAAACATATGCCACACTTGGGGTTTGCCATTATGTATTGTACTACTTTAGCATGTGCAGACATATGAAAGTATGCAACATTGTTGATATTAAAATTTCTTGCATGTAGTTTATATTTTATCATGACAGGTTCTCTATGATGTTTTTTTTTAATTACCCTAGGATATAGGAGTTGTAAGTTCATTCTTAGTTCCTTCTACTATTACCTGTAAATGATACAACTACCGATATTTCAGTTGTCTTTCTATAAGTAAATAATACCTCTGAAAGCTGTGAATTACATTATTAGTCAAAATTAAAAGCCTATTAGAATATAGCTTTTATTATGTTTTGATCATAGTTAAGCTGTTTATTGAGTCCCTACCATGTATGTGGCCTACTCTGGTCAGTTTGCACTCTTAAATCATACTAGCATTTTTTTTAAAACTGGAAAACAAATAGAGGTCACAGTATCTGAAAAGAAAACTGAAGCTCCGAACAGTTGCCCAAAGTCACAAGGCAGGTTAGGAGTAAGTCCAGAATTACACTTACAAGTCATTGTTCCTTGATTAGTTACTACTAAGTAGTAGCCATTTAGTTCAAGTTGATGAAGTAGGTTTTTCATTTAAATAGAATTTATGAATATTCTGTTTTGAATTTTTAAAAGAATAGTATTGATTTACATGCTTATTAACCTGATTCAGTTTTTAACCTTTCTTTTAGTAAGAATGCTACTTTGGTTTTAATAAATTAGGTATATTGATATCTGTGTGTTAATTTTAGGTATTTGTCTTTATTTCAAATTGATGGTTCATTACTTATGACACTCAAGCTTGTAAGTTTAAGTTTCTCTTTTGCAAATTGCCTACCCTACATTTGTTTTAAAAGTTAGTATTTGGTTAGATAATCTTGCACAAAAAAAATTTTAGTTTATTTTATACATTTTAATGTTTTGTTTCGAATATGAAAGCATAAATTACTTAAATTATTTGAATATATTTTATAGGTTTTTTGGGTTATTTCTAATATTTATGTTTAGAGAGTGGGAAGGAAGGAAGAAAGAGAGGGAGAAAAACATCAGTGCGTGGTTGCCTCTTAGGTGCCCCCTACAGGGGACCTGGCCCACAACCCAGGCTTGTGCCCTGACAGCATTGAACTGGTGACCCTTTGGTTCACAGGCTGGCACTCAATCCACTGAGCCTCACCAGCCAGGGCTATTTAAATACATTTTAAAATATATAAAGCACAAGTCATTGGGAAATAGCATAAATGTGAGTATATTACAGAATCACAAGTAAAGTTTTTTAGTAATGTCTAATTGTTGTCTAACTTAAAATATCCTTTTGTGGTGTTAAAAATTATTTTGTGTAGTTTTATATTTTTTCTTAAATTGTAGTGTGGACGGCAATTGCATTGACAGTGCTCTTAGTGGCTGTTGCAACATTGTGTAAAGAACAAGGAATAACAGTTGTGGGAATTTGCTGTGTGTATGAAGTATTTATTGCCCAGAGGGTAAGAAGAAACTTAGATTTTTTGATGTTATCGTTTATTATTATTTATTTGAGTCTGATTATAATAAACTTATTTTCAAAATGTATTTTCATCGTTCTGATTACCAATAATACCAAAATTTTACAAGATAAAATCATACTTTATCTCATACTCACTGAAAATTAATTAACATTTTAGAGCATGTTCAGCTTTTCAAAAGCTGCTTTTTAAGTTTCAATAATGGAATTATTGAAACAAATTGTTGGGCAAGTTGGAATATTTTACAAGATAATTAATTATTGGCTAAGGTTACTGGGTTCAGTTTTATTCATTATCAGTTCCACAAATTGTTTTATATTGATTTTATAGTTACAGTCAATATCTATCAAATCTTGCATTTAAAGAGTACTACATTGTTGAAAACATGATATATATGGTTATTTATTTAAAACTTTTTTTTCTTTTCCAGTATACTTTGCCATCATTATGTACTACTGTTGGACACTTTCTCTGTGGAAAGGGTAGTATTCCATTTTCTATGCTGCAGACATTAATAAAACTCATTGTTTTGATGTTCAGTACACTATTACTTGTTGTGATTAGAGTCCAGGTTATTCAGTCCCAACTTCCAGTATTCACCAGGTATGAATTTCTGTTTTGTTTTTTTTCCATCCTTTTTAAAGTTAACTTTGGATTTTAAATGATTATAAATGTTATAGGAAGTCTTTAGTTTATATTGTGTTTTTTAACAGCTTGAGTTATAATTAATATTTTTAAGAGCCTGCATATACTTAAAGTGTACACATTAATCAATTTTGCAATATGTATGTACTCATTAAACCACAGTTAAGATATTAGGACCCTCAAATTGGTTAAGTATTAAGTCTTCTGTATGCTTAGTGATTTTTTTCCCATTAATTATTGAGAAAAGGATGTTGAAATCTCAGGCTATAATTATAAAATTCTCTTTTTCTTTTAAGTAGAATCAGTTTTTTTTTGTTTTGTTTTGTTTTGCTTTTGTGTTAAAAAGCTCTATTAGTACGTGCATAAACATTTTGGTTTGTAATTTCCTCCTGGTGAAGTGATCTCTGTATCATTATTAAATGAACTTCTATACCTCAAATAATAGTCTTTATTCTGAAATTTGCATTGTCTTATACTAATTTAGGCTCTTAAAACATATTCATGTAGTTCGTGTTACGCAGTTTTTCTTTTTCCATCCTGTTACATTTTATCTGTCTATATTTTTGTATTTCAAGTGTTTTGTTTTTGGTTTTTTTTTGGTAAACTCATAGAATTGGGTCTTCATTTTTTTGTTTGGTCATATTATATGCCTTTTAAAAATACATTTTATTGATTATGCTATTACAATGGTCCCATTTTTCCCCCTTTATTCCTGTCCACCCAGTGTACCCCCTCCCACCCACATTCCCCCCCTTTATTCATGTCCATGGGTTATACATGTAAGTTCTTTGACTTCTACATTTCCTATACTATTCTTAACCTCCGCCTGTCTGTCTTCTACCTACAATTTGTGCTACTTACTCTCTGTACCTTTTCCCCCTCTTTCTTCCCACCTAATCCCCCGCTGATAACCCTCCATGCGATCTCCCTTTCTGTGATTCTGTTCCTGTTCTAGTTGTTTGCTTAGTTTGTTTTTGTTTTTGGTTTGATTGTTAATAGCTATGAGTTTGCTGTCATTTTACTGTTCATATTTTTTTATCCTCTTTTTCTTTTTTTTTTTTTTTTAAAGATTTTATTTATTTATCTTTAGAGGGGAAGGGAAAGGAGAGAGGGAGAGAAACATCATTTGGTTGGTCCTTGGGAGGTAGGAGTGTGGGGTGGGGGGGCTTATCCTCTTTTTCTTAGATAAGTCCCTTTAACATTTCATATTATAAGGGCTTGGTGATAATGAACTCTTTGAACTAGATCTTATCTGTGAAGCACGTTATCTGCCCTTCCATTCTAAATGAAAGCTTTGCTAGATAGAGTCATCTTGGATGTAGGTCCCTGCCTTCCATGACTTGGAATACTTCTTTCCAACCCCTTCATGCCTATAACGTTTCTTTTGAGAAATCAGCTAATAGTCTGATGGGAACTCCTTTGTAGGTAACTGTCTCCTTTTCTCTTGCTGCTTTTAAGATTCTGTTCTTATCTTTAATCTTGGGTAATGTAATTATGACGTGCCTTGGTGTGTTCCTCCTTGGGTCCAACTGTTTTGGGACTCTCTGAGCTTCTTGGACTTCCTGGAAATCTATGTCCATTGCCAGATAGGGGAAGTTCTTTATTATTTGTTTAAATAAGTTTTTAATTTCTTCTTCCTCTTCTCCTTCTGGTACCCCTATGATTCAGATGTTGGGACATTCAAAGATGTCCTGGAGGTTTCTAAGCCTCTACTCATTTTTTTGAATTCTTGCTTTGTTTTGTTGTGGTTGAATGTTTCTGTCTTCCTTCTGGCCCACTCCATTGATTTGAGTCCCAGTTTCCTTCCCATCACAGTTGGTTCCCTGTACATTTGCCTTTATATCACTTAGCATAGCCTTCATTTTTCATCTAATTTGCAACCAATTCTGTGAGCATCCTGATTACCAGTGTTTTGAATTTTGCGTCTGTCTCTTCGTCACTTAGTTTTGTGTTTTCTGGAGCTTTGATCTGTTCTATCATTTGGGCCATTTTTTTTTTTGTCTCAGTGCACCTGTTAGTAGTAAGGGTAGGACCTTAGGTGTTCACCAGGGCAGGGCAACCGGATCGCTACGTTGTGACACTGTATGTCGGGGAGGGGTCTGAGAGGGTACAGTGCTGCTTCCTCTGGTCTCTACCGGTTTTCAATCATTTCCTCCACTTCCCACAGTCAAATTGGGCCCTTCTCGTGCAGACTTCCCGATGGGTGGCCTTGTGTAAGTTCTGGGACTCAGTGGGTCTCTCCAATGAACTCTCCTATGATGCTGGGAGTTTCTCCCACTGCTTTAACCCCCTCAGGTTTGAGGCTTTATTTCCCTGCCCTGGAACTCTGGGTTGTGCGATCCGTCTCACTCCCCAGTTGTTCCTCCTGATTTATCTGCACGTGAATGTGGGACCGCCTGGTCCACAATCAGCCACCTCACCAGGTCCACCAGCCACCACCGTGCTGTGAGTCCTCTCCACCTGGCTGCCCAACTCTGCCCCTCCTGCCACTCTGGATGAATGTTTAAATTTAGAACAGAACATAAAGAAAACGTGAAGTTATTATTTTGAAATGTACTTTAAAGCGATGATTTGACTTAGTTTTTAGGAAATGGGCTAAAGTAATGCAATGTACGTTAAAATACATCATGGCCTTGGAAAATGTAAACTAGGATATAAGCTTATATTGTTATATACTAGAAGAAAAAGTAGAAACATAGGAGGGGGGACCAAAAAACCCAAAATTATCTTCTGCAGGATGAGCCCCTTATAACACAGGCTTCGCCGGCTAGGTGAGTGTTCTAAGAACCCAGCTGTGTCATTGCGGTAACTGGCATTGTTGTCAGAGGCTGTGTCAGCTTCAGTGAAGTTTTTGAAGACTCTTTCAACATGTTTGCCCCTTTCATGATGGGTGATTGACAAGCACACCTGCTCACACTGAGCTGAGTGTTCAGCAGTTTTTGACCTAAAAAAAGTCATGATACCCATGCCCGCCCCCCATTCACCTGATCTCACCTGGATAAAAAAAAAGTCCTCAAAGTGGATCATTTTGCCAGTGTAGAAGAGGTGAAACTAAGGAAGGCAGAAGCACTAAAAGGCATCAAAATCAGCAAGTTCAAAAACTATTTTGAGCAGTGGAAAAAATGTCTCTATAGTTGTATCACATCAAATAGAGAGTACTTTGAAGGTGATTAAAGTTTAAACATGTAAAAATAAATATACAATTTGAAAAATTCCATTTTGGGGGGATTCCCCCTTGTATAACATGTTATATAGGTCTATACAGTTAGTATTCCATGCTGGAAATTTGGTTTTTAGCTTTCTAGAACTCTATATAAAGAGGAAAAGCTCATAAATGATATAGTTTTCTCTATGATGAGAAACACATAGTAATTTTTTTCTAGGAAGCATAATTTTTATTAGCATTTAGTGCTGAAAGAAACTTCTCATTTAGAAAACATTGGTTAGTGTTCTTAGGATTCATACATCACATACGACACTGATTCTTACCCAACTTTTCTTGCTCCTTTTAATCAGAAGGTCATAATTTAATGAAAGCACTTCAGCAGAGTGTCATAATATTGTAGTAGGAATTTCTGGATTATTCTTATAAAAAGCTAGAAATAGATAACTTGCTTGCCATTCAGTCAGCTTTTCATAACTACTACTTCTCTCAACTAGACATTTTATACAAATAGACACTTTAAACTCTGGCAGGAGTCTGAGGTATTGATAAAAATATTTATGTCTTCTATTTAACAAGAAAAATATAAAATATTGCTTTTATTATTATATCATTCAGTATTTTAGTTATATACTAAGTTTATGTTAAGAAAGTGTTTTAGTTTAAGTAATTTTTTTTCATTCTTTCTACAGGTTTGATAACCCAGCTGCTGTAAGCCCAACTCCAACAAGACAGCTAACTTTTAACTACCTCCTCCCTGTGAATGCTTGGCTTCTGTTAAATCCTTCAGAGCTCTGCTGTGATTGGACCATGGGAACAATACCACTTATAGAGTCATTTCTAGATATTCGAAATGTTGCCACATTTATTTTCTTTTGTTTTTTGGGGGCTTTGGGAGTATTCGGTCTCAGATACCCTGGCAATTCCTCCAAAACTGTTTTAATGGTAAGAAACTTTCTTTATTTTTCAGATGATATTACATTCCATCGATTCATTAAGAGACTGCTTTTAATTTATTAAAAACATCTTTTTAGAGGCAGAATATTTTTTTTTCAACATCACTAATTTGTGCACTTATTTTAGGTTATCCTAAAATTCTGTATCAGAATTTGAAATGCATGCATAATTTGATATATATTCAGCATGTAAAATAAAAACTGATTATGAAATTTTTTAATTTGGTAGAAACTCTGAAGTCACAAGGTATCTCTTTTGGCATCATTTTCTTGTATATTTTTTTTACCTTTTTACCCAACTTACACACTTTTTGAAGAAATATTATATACTTTTATTTCTTATTATATACTTTATTATATACTTTATATAATAAAGTATATAATAAGCCATATTATATACTTTTGGGGGTAACAGAGAAGAGTGTCATCAGAGATATGCAACTAGAAATATATAGCTCTTTCATTCTCATTAGCAAGATTTCCATTACTCCCTAAGATACTCCTCACTTTGTTCAAAGAACTCTGGAAGTCAAGTTGTTGTTTTTCCGAAGTCTCTTTTAAATTATTGAAGGCAACAACAATCTTTAACATTTTCTTGATCAATTACTCTATGCTAGAAAGTATTTTTAATAATTTCCAAATATATTTTTCCATTGTTTGCCAGTAGTTTATTAAATAACTTTTTTATTGCAACCTATTACCAGTCAGCGTTTAGGCACTAAGTATATGGTAATAAAAAGAAATAAAGGGTTCTCATTTCCAGGGAAATGTAATTCTAGAGAAATTTGAGATAAAGAGAAGACTGAAAGAATATAGGGTTTAGGGGAAATATTAAATTTACTGTTAATCTTTGGACCTAAGGAATTTACATGTCTTTGTAATTTAACTAGTGTAGTGAAGATTTTGAATATCCCTTTGTCCCTGGAGTTCAGGGAAGCCCAAGCTACAGATAAAAATTTGATTGGTTGGCGTAGAGATAGTAATTGAAACCAAAATGTGGATAAGAAGGCCTGTGCAGACGCGACAGAGCAGGCTTTCTCACTGGGTTTTTGTCAAGTTTCTCAAAGGTGAAAACTAGCTAGTACAAGTCTGGATGCATAAAGTTCATTCATACATGTAATGAATGCCTTAGACTATTTGATCTTTTGTCTCTCAGAAAAATAGTTGAAGGGTCTGCATAGAGTGAAAGAGAAGAAGCCTACAACTAGATTTTGAAAAACTCCCATTCTTTAGATATGTAGAGGAGAATGAACCTAAATAGGAGTTAGAACAAATGGACAGAAGAATAGGAAAGTGTTCAAAAGACAGAATGGTTAACACTAACTAACAGGTGCTGTTAAGTAGAAAAATTGGATTTGACCTCATTTAGGTATAATAGTTACGTTAGTGAATTTATTTCTGTCAAGTGATTTGATCAGGAGATGAGGGAGTGAAGATAGCAAGTGTCAATAACCTACTGGGTTAACTTTGAGTATTTCAGAGGATAAGACAAGCTTGAAATTATTACCTGACTTAGTAAGAAAAGACTGCTGGTCAGGCAGTGACTGCCAGCATAGCAAACTGCTGATCTTATGTAGGTAGGGCTTGGGAGAACAGAGACCTAGAATTGGTGGACCTTCAGAGGTGGGAGTGGGTTGATATTGGAGGTAGGCAGTTGATTGGCACTTAGAATCAGCTTCATTGGAAGACTCATTTGGCTGACTTGTAGAAGCAAGACAATGAAGGGTTGGCTTACAAAAATATGTTCATTGAGTTGAAATGTTGATTAAGTATAGTTAAAATCAGCTAGTGGCTGCAAAAGTCTTTTCCTGACTGTGGAAACTTGTTTTTCACCCAGAAACTCTAATGAGTGGTTAAAGTGGCTTAAAGATACATTGTTAAAAGAGAATATTTTAAGGTTGGAGAGGCAAGAGCATGTTTATAGGTTGCAGTTGATTAGAAAGTCACTGAGTAAATGAAAGAAGCGATGATTATAGTGAGATTTGTGAAGAGCAGGAGGATATAGACCTCAGGTTTGGCCTGAGATAGATTAATGGAGACACCTTTTGTTACAGGAAGGATGGAAATGAGCATAAATGTTGATGTTGGTATGTTTAGTAATGGGGAATTCAAGGAATTTTTTATGGCTTTAGTTTTTTCTAAGTTTGGAAGTGACATGAGTCAAAAGTTTAAATAAAGTAGTCAAAATTCAAGATAGTCCAGGAAAGTTGGAGTGAACCTACCAAAGAAACCTAGGAATCCTGAGCAGTCTTAAGGATCAATTTGAAGTCATTTGATCATGAATTTGTGATATTACCCTATTCTCTTGGGAACTGCCTCCAGTAGTGCTTGTTGCTCAGATAAATGCAAACAAAGTAGATGTTTGGTAGATACTATCTACAGCTGAGGTTTGTCTAAAAAGAAAGATAAAAAAGGGATAAATGAATTTAAAACTTCTACAAATAAAAGAATAATGTATAATGTAAGCTGAATAGAAAATAGAGGGTGTGCCCTGACTGGTGTGGCTCAGTGGGTTGGGTATTGTCCTATGGACCAAAAGGTTGCTGTTTCAGTTCCTGGTCACAGCACATGCCTGGGTTGCAGGCCAAGTCCTGGAGGCAACCAATCGATGTTTCTCTTCCTCTCCTGCTCCCTCCCTTCCCCTGTCTCTAAAAGGAAATAAATAAAATCTTAAAAAAAAAAAACAAAAAAAACAGAGGATCAGAGGATAGTGTCAACGAAATAAATGTGCATTTAGATAAGTTTTATTTTATGTGTAAGAAAGAGGAACAGTTGGGACCTTAGGTAAACTGGTTTGAATAAAGTCTTTAACATGTTATATTTTATGGTGATATTTTCTGAAGATCTCTAGAAGGGATAAGTATATCAAAGTAGTACCTACCAAATACCAGATATCAAGTTAAGCATTTATTAAATAAAACGACACAGTATCTCAACAATATTATGTAAGTAGTTAACTTTATTTATAAAAAGTCACAAATGGGATTGATTAGTTTACCTTATGTTACATAGGTTGTAAGAAGTGAAACAAGTTCATCTCCAAACTTTGTTCATTCCACTATCATGCTTCCTTTCAAAGAGAGTTTGCATCACTGGTGGAGGAAGGAAATTACGTTAGGTGGAGTGAACTAGATCGGCATACATTAATAGAGAGCATACTATACCTTCTGAGTTAATAAGTACAGCCATTCCTTATCTAAGAACCAATAGATTTGGGAGAAGATTACTTTTCTTTTTTTGTGTAGCTAATGTATCAGTCCATGATGCATCTTTGGATCAATTTAATACTTACAGTTCTTTCAAATGAAATTGCTTTAGGGCAGCCATGAATTAATAGGTAATTTTTTTAATGGCTGTATATTTAGGAACATCTCTGTCCCACAGCTAGGTGATTATTTTTTTCAAGCACTTCTGGGAAATACAAAGTGAATTATGCACTTTTAATGTTTTACCTTTTTGATTAAAAAGAAAACTAAGCTTTTAGATACATAAATGGGTATGATGCTGAACAGTATAATAGTAGTGCTTTTCTTCAGACTCAGTATTACCTCATTAGAGATCACTAATTTGTGATTCATGGAGAAACTGTTCTTTTTAATATATATAGATGTCTTCATTTACATTTTAGTAATAAAGAACAGACATTCTTGACTCTCAGACTTATGAAGCTGAAAGAATAACTTACTCTGTTTGGTACTATAAAATCAAAGTAACAAAGTATGGAAGCACATGTCTATAGAAACAGATGTTCTAATGACAACTTACTTATTTTCTTCCTCAAGTTATTTGTGTGCCAGTCATTTGTGTCATGCTTTTTGTAATGGCTTTATAACCTGGAAACTATATACCACCCCATTTTCAAAATGAAGAAAAAACACTGTGCATTTTTGAGATGTTTTATTTCAGTTAGAATTTTAGAAATTCTTGTTAGAATTTCTTAGAAGTCCTAGAGTAATAGGCTAAAAGATTATTGATATAAACAGAAGCAATTTTATTCTTAAACATATACTAAACCTCTGTTAAATGTATATGACTCATCAGAATATTATGCAAAGTAACACTAAGGTACAGAAGTAGCAATCTATTGTCCTGTCTGAAACACACCTTACCAATTTCCAATATAATATGGTTATTTAAAATAGTAACAAAAACTGGCACATTTAGCTATTTTATCAACCTTTGCGGTTTTGTTTTGTTAAAACCTATTAACATCTTTCTCTGTCAGTTTATCACATGAACATTAGTTACATGTATAAAAATTATCAGTGTCTTATTTTAGATATATTTTCAAAAAAGACTTTTGTTTAATTGGATGAACCTTAATTATAAATTCTAACATTCAAGAAGACTTCATCTCTCACATTGTTGACATGCATTTTTGTTATTATCCCTAAGTTACCTTCATGTTTAAATAATATTATTTATAATATTAAGTTATAATGTTAACATTTCCAAATTATATGACAAAATATTTGGATTTGACTCTTGAGTGTTCTTATATTTTTTAATTTAATGAAATATTCTTTTTTTCTTTATAGGCACTTTGTTTAATGGCATTACCATTTATTCCTGCATCGAACCTTTTTTTTCCAGTTGGATTTGTTGTTGCGGAGCGAGTATTATATGTTCCTAGCATGGGGTTCTGTATTTTGGTAGCCCATGGATGGTGCAAAATATCAACAAAAAGGTGAATTTAAATATAAATTTATATAATGCTTACTAACTATAAAATTAAATGTGATACATTTAAGTATTTAAGTGGTTATTTAATTTCGGTTTTATAAGTCATACTTGTATACCTCTCTGTTTTTCACTTTATAGTCTCATTTTTCTGTAATTCAGGTTAGGAAAGCTCCATTGCATTTCCTGCATCTTAAGTTCTTCATACTTGTATAATTTTATTTTATAGCCTGAGACATAAACTTTGAGTAAGATCCAAGTGAAAACAAGGATATTATTGAGACTAAAGTTAAAAATGGCCATTGTCCCTCATACACAATGAACTAAGATATAGTCTTCTTACTTAAGTGAGTTATAATGAGTTCACAATATATATATATGTAAAATATAGAGGGTGGAGCAAAAGTAGATTTGCAGTTGTTTGTATGGAAAATAATACAAGGATAAACTTTTCCACATACTCACAACTGTGAGTACTATTGGTTCTTGCTGTCATTGTTATCTTCATCACAACCACCATGTCCTCATTGCCTTGAACTAACAGTTAAGGAAGAGAAGAGTCAAACTGAGTATATTCAAGAAATGGTCACTGTCTCTCCTTTCTTTCTCACTTCCAGTCACCCTTCAACACATAGAATTCTGACTTTTCTCTATATCACCTACTAACGTAGATAACAAATTGCCTCCTGGTAGCTAAATTTAGTCAAGGCTTTCATTTAAAATTTATTTCTCAGGCACATATAAAAGTTCTCTCTCGTTCTCTTTCACATCTGTTTATTTCTGCTCTCTCTTGTCTGATTTCTTCTTGCTGTGCCTGCTCTTTAAATATTTATTATTTCTCAGAGTTTTACTCATAGCCATTTTCATCACACTATATATTTTCCCTGGATGATTTCATCTATGTCTACAGTTTTCACCACTATCTGCCAGACCTTTCCCTTTAGCATTGACCCATATATCCTAATATAATCAGTACCAACTTTTTAGTGCCTGCTCTGTGCCTGATGCCCTGAGAGACCATTTAGATTTGTTTTCTCATTTGATCTTGACATTCCTTAACTCTGTTTTCGTACATGTTAAAATAGAAGATTACACAGGGTTACCTAAAATGTAATGCAAGATCACATAGCTAGTAAATAGCCATCTTGGTTCAAATGTACCATGTGTTTTCTGATCCATGTACTCTTATTCTGGTTAATTGTGTCTATCAAAATGAAAGAAATTGAACTGTATTACCAGGGCAACAATACAGATTTAGAGAACATTAGTACCAATGAGATCATAGGGATTATTGAAGGAATTGAGTCTCAAATAATTAGCTTGAAATTTATGATTTACATTTATTTAATAAAGAGCGATGTTTACTCTGACTTTTAATAAATAATTCTAGCTTTGTTTAAAATTTAAAATTATTCCAAGAATGTCATGATAATCTGTGGTATGTAATTGTAAGCAGAAATGTTTTTAAATGTAGCCAGTGATAAGAGTCACCCTTTTTAAACACAGGTAAGAATATTCAGGTTGTAGGTAGTGGTACAAAGGACTCTAAATATAAAAAGTCATAATTAAATCTGGTTTTTATCAATTTTTGTTTTTAAATCTAAGCAAAATTTTTGAAGTAGAGTTAAACATCGGAATATTTAATATGACTTGAAGTGGAAGGTAGTCTTCAGATATTTAAGTTTTTGATGTTCTTCCTGAAGTTGGATAATTATTAGAATGATCTCTACTTTTTAGAATAAGTTCAGAAAGAACAGTGGGGTTTTTTTAAACATATTTCTTCTGTTCTAAAAGATAAAATGCTTTTGGTGATATAGACAATGTTTTTGCTTTATTTTTTCCTCTTAAACAGTGTATTTAAAAAGTTATCCTGGGTTTGTCTGTCTTTGGTGATATTCACTCATGCCTTAAAAACACTCCACAGAAATTGGGATTGGGAGTCTGAGTATACGTTGTTTATGTCAGCCTTGAAGGTAAAGTATTATCCAGAATGACAGGAAAGTATGTCATCAATTACTCTTTATAGCCATGTCTAAGATGCTTTAACTTTTTAATTTTTAATTAGACATTTGACTATCAGTATTAAGTACTTCACCAAACAATTAATAAAAAATAATTTGTTCTTTATATAATATATATCTTAACTAGTGCTTTGAACTTACTTGTATTTCCACAACACATATTATAATTTCCTAAATGCTATACAGTTGTTAGAAATGTAAATGATAAAACGTTTAAATAGGAATACTGTATTTCATTGGTTCTTAACGTGCAAATTTTTTAGCCTTTCAGCATATCTGAAGTTATAATAAATCTTACAGTGAAAGGCATCTTACAATTAGTGACCTTTTTTCTTAATAGTACATAAAATAATGGTGAGTCTTAATAATTGCTGTCATGTTAGAGCCAGTGAAGTAAAATAATGGCCAAAAATGGCAACCTACTATGAAAGATAACCAACCAGTGGTTACAATACTATAGGAAAATAGGAACTGGTAGAATGGATTGATATAGCACTTCTGTGAAATGGACAATATAAATAGAATAAGGTCTTTTTAAAAATCATAATATTTGTTTTCTGTAAATAAAAGTTACAGGCAGATTTTTTGTTCGGATGCTCCCTTACCAACACCTCTTTTAAAATCTCTAAATTCTTACCTTCCTTTTGGCTATTTCAGTATTGTCCATTGTCTAGCTTTATTGGATCACTGCCTGTTCCAGTAGTCTATGTGACTTCTTGATTTGACATCTATTTAAGATTACATGGCTTTCCTCTTGTATCACTCAGTAAGTCCACTGTTTCCCGTAGTTCAGAAGTCTGCAAATCAGTAAGACTTAATTACCATTATTATTAATTCATCCTTCTGGATTACCAGGGGCGCCCCCTAATTTTCAAGAATTTTGCTTGTCCTTGCTTTCAGGACAATGCTCAAAACCACAGCCCCAATCACTGTAGCTAGCTCCATGGCAAGGTGCCGTCATCTGCCTGCAGAAGCACCCTATCCATGCCCGTGTGTGAACTCTGAAAGCACAGACCAACTTAGAGCTTTATTCTCAGGGTTCTTGTAACCATGATAAGACTACATAAGCAGCTTTATGCGGAACCTCAAAATATGTCATTAGTGCAATCTTAAACATATTCTCATGTTCAAATACCATTCCTCCCAAAAGAATACAAGTAGTAGAAAAGTTTTCAAATATCACTATGCTTTAATCAAATAAAATTTTCAGTAGAAGTCTAGTATATAAAATTGATTAAATTAAACTGCTGTGGTATTAGTATGTTGATGTTGAAAGGAGGGAGAAGGTAAATTAGGTGAAGGTGTTTTCATTTGGCTTATTCCTCAACTCTGGGAACATCTTAGTGGAACACTCTATTCCAATAGTGTACCAAACAAATTCTTATCTCTGCTAATTGGAGTCCTTTTTTTCTGGGAGAAAATCCTAATGATGTCTTTTTCTGTTTCATTGAGGTATAATTGACATGAATTTTTATTAGTTTAACGTATATAACATAATGATTTGACATATATATATTCTCCACAATAAGTTTATCTGACATCTGTCACCTTACATACTACAAGTTTTTTCCTTGTGATGAGAACCTTTAAGATCTACACTCCTACCAGCTTTCAAATACACAGTACCTACCGTATTGTAAACTGAAGTCACCATGCTGCACATTGCATCCCCAGAACTTACCGGCTTTGTAACTGGAAGTATGTACCTTTTGACCACCTTCACCCATTTATGGGCATCTCCATGGAACACTGAGTTCCTGATACTGTATCAGACAAATATCTGTGTTAATTGGAGTCATATTTTTTAACTTGGCCTATCCTGACACTTTAAAATTTTTTATTATTTTTTCCCATTACCATTTATCCCCCTAATATCCTCTAACACCCTCCTAATATCACCACACTGTTGTCCATGTCATGAGTCCTTTTCCCTTTTTGCTGCATCCCTCCACCCCCAGCCCAACCCCCGCAGCTGTCATCCTGTTCTCGGTGAGATTGTTTCTGTTTTGCTCGTTCAGTTTTTTAATTAGATTCCACACGAGTGGTAGAATGGTATTTTTTAATCGTAACTAATTTCTATCTGTATTTGTATATTTAAGGTAAATAAAAACAATGCCAAATTATGGAATAATGTGGGTCATGCTCTGGAAAATGAAAAGAACTTTGAGAGAGCTTTGAAATACTTCCTACAGGCTACCCATGTTCAGCCAGGTAAGCATTATCAGTTAATAAAACTATTTTAATAATTTATTTTCTTTTCAAAATCTTGATTATATTTTAAGAAAATAAGGTAGACTTTTTTTCAAGCTTCATTTCAGTGATTTGAATACTACCAGTGTTCCACGCTGGCTTATTTTGAATTAATTATGTCAGAAATACTTATATATGATATTTAAGGCCTAAAAACTCCACCAAAAAAAAACTACCAGATCTAATATATGAACTCAGCAAAGTAGCAGAATACAAAATTAATATTCAGACATTGATGGCATTTTTATACACCACTAATGAACTATCAGAGAAATTAGAAAAACAGTCTCATTCACTATTGCAACAACAAAAAATAAGGTACCTAGGAATAAATTTAACTAAGGAGGTAAAAGACCAATACTCAGAAAATTATAGGACTTTGAAGAAAGAAATTGAGGAATATATGAACGAATGAGTGGAAACATATACCGTGTTTAAGGATGGAAAGAATTAACATCATTAAAATGTCCATACTGCCCAAAGCAATTTATAGATTCAGCATAATCCCTATTAAAATACCAATGACATATTTCACAGATCTAGAACAAATATTTCATAAATTTATATAGAGCCCGCAAAGACCCCAAATAGCCTCAGCTTGAGAAAGAACCCCAACAACAAAAAGATATTTAAGGAATTGTTTTTTATTGTTTATTGGGGTGGCATTGGTTAATAGGCTTCAAGTGTGCATTTCTTTAACACTTCATCTATATGTTGCGTTGTGTGTTTACCACCCAAATTCAGATCTCCTCTGTCACCACATATTTAACACCTTTTATCCTTTACTATCTTCCCCTTTCCCTCTGGCAGCCACTATATTGTTCTGTGTAAGTGAGTGTTTGTTTGTTTGTCTTGTTTGTTCATTTGTTGCTTTCATATTTTTACATGCTTATTGGACAGTAATGCAACCCCAAGAAAAGGATGGTTTGTTGCTTTCAGTTTTATATACCACATATGCATGAAATCGTATTGTTCTTGGCTTTTTCCATCTGAGTTATTTTGCTTAGCATGCTATTCTCAAGATCCCTTTTTGTTGTTGGAGTTGGCAGTATTTCATCTTACAGTGGAGTAGTATTCCATTGTATACATGTACCACATCTTTATCAAATCATCTACTGAAGGATGTTTTGGTTATTTCCATGTTTTGTCCACCATGGATAATGCTGCAGTGCACATAGGGGTACATATATCTTTACAAATACATGTTTTCAAATTTTTCAGGAGGATCCCCAGAAGAGGAGCTTTGTCATATGGTTATTCTAGCCTTAATTTTTTGAGCACCCTCCATACTGTTTTCCATAGTGGCTTTACTAGTTTACATCCCCACCAGCAGTAAATGAGGGTTCCTTTTTCTCCTCAAACTCTCAGCATGGGTGTAGAATAAAAAGTTCCTGAATGTAAAAGAGGCCATATATGACAAATCCTCAGCTAATATACTCAGTGGTGAGAAACAAGAGTTTTTCCTGTGAGGTCAGGAACAAGACAAGGAAATTCATACTTACCACTGTCATTCAATGTGGTACTGGAAGTCCAGGTAGAGCATCAGGCAAGAGCAAGAAAAGGCATCCAAATCAGGAATGATGAGATGAAATTGTCACTTTCTGCAGATTACATGATTCTTTATATAGCAAACCTTAAGGACTCCACTAAAAAACTATTAGAAACAAAAACAAATACAATAAAGTGGCAGGATAGAAAGCCAATGTCCAAAATTCATTGCTATCCTTTTTTACTACCTATGAAATTTCAGAAAAAGAAATGAAAAAAAAATCTTTCACAATTACAACAAAAGAGAAAATACCTCAGAACAGACCAGCAAAAGAATCTGAAAGAGCTATACAATGAAAAATGTGAGACACTGTTCAAAAAACTGAAGAAGACACAAAGAAATGGAATTTTTTTTAACAGAGTGGAGTTGTTGGTTAGCACCAATGAGCAATTTCATTGGAGTGATAGCAGAGGAGGAATAATTGCAAACAGTTGGTGATGAAAAGTTTTTGAAAGGGTATTGATAAGAACTGGTGGTGCTCAGTGTGGGGGTCCAAGGAGGGTAGTAGGACGATAGGGGGTTTTTTCCATTTTTTAAAATTATGTGTTTTTAATTATGGTATTACAGTTGTCCAAACTTATCTTCCTTTGCCCCCTTCTCCAACTAGCACTCCCAAATTCCTCAAGCAATCCCCACACCATGGTTCATGTCTGTGGGTTATGCATATAAATTCTTTCGCCACTCCATTTTCTGTACTGTACTTTACAGCACCGCAGCTATTATGTAACTACCTTAATCCTCTCACCTCTTCACCCATTTCTCCACATCCACCTGCTATCTGGCAACTATTGAAATGCTCTCCATATCCGTGATTCTATCTCTGTTCTTCTTGTTTGCTGAGTTCATTTTTTTAGATCAATTGTTGATAAGTATTTTTTGCCATTTTTTGTTCATAGCTTTGATCTCATTTTCTTAAATAAGTCCCTGTAATATTTCATATAATAATGTTTTGGTGAGGATGAACTCCTTTAGTTTTTTCTTCTCTGGAAAGCTCTTTATCTGCCCATCCATTCTAAATGATAGATTTGCTGGGTAGAGCAATCTTGGCTGTAGGTCCCTGCTACTCATGACTGAATATTTCTTGCCCAACTCCATCTATCCTGCAAAGTTTCTTTTGAGAAATCAGCTGACAATGTTATGGAAACTCCCACATAGGTACTTAACTGCTTTTCTTTTATTGCTATTAAGATTTTATCTTTATCTTTAACCTTTGGTATTTTAATTATGATGTGTCTTGGAGCGGGCCTCTTTGCATCCATCTTGTGTGGGACTCTGTGTGTTTTCTGGACTTGCATGTCTATATCATTCACCAAATTAGGGAATTTTTCTTGGATTACTTTTTCAAATAGATTTTCATCTTCTTGCTGTTTCTCTCTTCTTTCTAGTACCCCTAATATGCAAATGTTGCAATGCTTGCAATTGTCCCAGAGGCTGCTTACAATGTCCCCTTTTTTATGGATTCTTTTTTCCTCTTGTTGTTCTGATTGGTTGTTTTTTGCTTCCTAATGTTCCAAGTCATTAATTTGATTCTTGGCTTCATCCACTCTACTATTGTTTCCCTATAAATTGTTCTTTATTTTAATTAGTGTATCCTTCGTTTCTGACTGGATCTTTTTTATGCTGCTGAGGTCCTCACTAAATTCCTTGAACATCCTTATAACCAGTCTTTTGAACTCTGCATCTGGTAGATTGCTCATCTCCATTTTGTTTATTTATTTTTCTTGTTTTGATATGTTCTTTCATTTGGGCCCTGTTTCTTTGTCTCCACTTTGGCAGCCTCTCTGTGTTTGTTTCTATGTACGAAGTAGAGCTGCTATGACTCTGTGTCTTGGTTGTGTGGTCTCATGAAATAGGTGTCCTGTAGGGTCCAGTGGCACAACTTCCCTTATCACCCAAGTTGGGTATTTGAGGTGAGCCCTTCATGTGGGCTGAGTACACCCTCCTCTTGTTTTGAGCCTCGGTTGCTGTTGGTAGGTCAATGGGAGAGATTTAACCAGGTCAGTCAGCTGCAAAGACTGGCCGTGACCATTGACCACTAACCTCCGCCCTCTGAGGAGGATCAGCTGTGCAGGGGTAAGAAGGTGGTGTTCTGACATGGTCTGTAGTTGTCCCCTGGGTGTGCAGACTCTGAGGTTTCCTAGGTCATCTCGGCCAAGGTCAGCTCCCACCTGTGTTCTCCCTAGGGCTTCCTTGACTGAGACATAAAGCAGCTTGAGATGGCTGTTACTTGTGCTGGGCTTAGAGATTCCTAGGTGAAGCCCAGCTTTGAATGTAGGCTGGCTGCTGTTATCACCTGTCCTGGGGCCCCTTCACTGTTACTTGAGAGAATTTAGGAAGTTGTGAAGCATGAGTTTTGACCAGCCATTCATATGGAAAAGTCATGGTTGTCAGATTGGATGGACTGTAATTTGGGTGGGACGGAGTCTCAGGATCTCCACGGTAGAGTAAACAGGTTAGCCAGGTTGATGGAGTCTCATGTATAGTACCTGCCTGCTGGCTCTGTGGTTCCATGTGGGAAGGGCTCAGGAAAGAGACAGTGGCTTCTGCTCGAATTTCTGTCCAGGAGAAAGTTATCCCCCAGCTCCCTGCTTAATCCCAGACACTTCAGTTCCGCCCTGTGTGCCACTTGTGAAGCCAGAAATTATAGGGACTTATTTTTCTGTCACTGGAACCCTGGGCTGGGAGGCCTGGTGTGGGGCTGGAACTCCTCATTCCTAAAGTTTTATCCACCACACATGAGTGTGGGACCAGCCTGTTCCACATCTCCTCTCGTTTATCACTTTGGATGGATGTGATTTCTTTAATTTCATAGTTGTCAGATTTCTATTCAACTCAATTTCTGATAGTTCTAAGTGATGGTTGTTCTGTATTGTAGTTGTAATTTTGATGTGGTTGTGTGAGGAGGCAAGCTGTGTTTACCTATGCTACGATTTTGACCAATAGTTGTCCTTCAGTGTGTGTTTTTTTTTTTATTTTAAAGTGGGAGAAACAAGCATATGTGCAACTGACTCATTAAATCTAGGAGAAATTATAATTCAAGGTGAGGGCACGAATTACTGGGTCAGTGTCCTCAAATGAATGAGAAGAGATAAATGGGATCTGGTGCACAGGTTGAGGACTTCAGTCAGTCGTAGAACCAATAGTTAACCTGTGCTAACAGCGAAGACAGGGTGTGTGGTTGTGGATATGGGTAGGTGAATAGATGACATGCAGAAAGTTTCTGGAAGTTTCCCTTCATTTGCTTCTTTTTTTCTCAGTAAAATAGGAAACAAAATCATCAAGAGAGTGAGGGAAGAGTGGGAAGTGTTGGAGACCTAAGAATAGGAGAAGGTATAGCAGGGGTGTCCAACCTTTTGGCATCTCTGGGCCAGACAGGAAGAAGAAGAGTTGTTTTGTGCCACAAATTAAATAT